TTACTGGTTGCAAAATGAACAGCAAAGAGTACAAGGTTTAAAATCAAAACTATTAATATGTTTATTTTTATTGGAAACATTCTTTCAGGTCGGAGAGACATGGACTTCCCCTGATGGCGATAAATGCAAATCTTACAGTTGTATCAAAAATAATAATGGCGAGATTATTAAGCAAGAATCAATAGAATCATGTCAAAGGAATTGTTCCAAGGTAACAGACTAGAATATTATATAATAACACATGCCCGCAACAATAAACAGATTCTGACAATGTATTATTTAATTCTATCAGACATTCGTAATGTGTATATTGGATACATTGGAAAATATATCCATTTACTAATAATTTAACAAAAGAGAAGATAGTGTACATTTCTAGGAATATTTCTGAAAAATCGTATGAAGAGTATAAAATGTTTTCTAGGGATGGGAATACAAAGAGTCAACCACATCTTGTTGTGGAATATGTGAACCAGTTGCATGTGTTTTAAATGATACCTTAAAATATGCAAATGATGAATGGAAATCCGAGGATGGCTGTATTACTTTCAGATGTGAATTTTTCAATGACCAAATGGCTGTGACAAGGTCAGAAGAATCTTGTCCAAATATAGATAACTGTCCTCCGCAAGATGTTTACATAAAGAACTGTTGCAAACATTGCAACATTACAAACGGTGTTTCTCAAGGTATAGGACAGATTGGCATTTGGACATTTTTATATTTATTTAAAGTAATAAATTTTAGTAAGCTGTGAATCAAGAGAGATTAACCCGAAAGAAACGGTTGGTTTGGTGAATGTCAATCGCCCTTCTCATGGTAACTGCGCTAATAAATATGAGTTGAAGAATTTCAAAGAGTGTAGTGGAAGGTGTCATTCATCAACTGTATTCAATTCAAGTAAGTTTTATCCATAATTTTATACAGAATGCAATACTTTTCAATATGCAGCGAGGAGTGATCTTAATTTTAAATAGCTTAAATTTAATGTTATACGTCTTCTGCTGGCATTTTCAGATAAAGATGAAAAAGTTGCCAATGTTAAGTCATTAATTTTAACACATATGTATTAACAAGAGATCTACATCGTTTAATTAAGATTTATTGTTTCTATACAAAAGCCTGAGAGCTAAAAATTTAAAAATCATCGTCCTGACTAATACTTCTACTTTCTTTGGTGGATATATATATAAAAGCAAATGTTGGGAAAAAATTATCTTAATTAAAAATTATCCGAATAAGATGAATTTGATTATATTGGCATTATTTTATGCACTGCAAATTCTTTTTGCTTATAGAAACTGGCTCACACGAATCGAAATGCGAATGTTGTCAAGCAACCAAATACGAACCACTTTTTGTTGAATTGGAGTGTGAAGATGGTTACAAATACAAGAAACAGATAGCTGTTCCTGTAGAGTGCGGTTGTGAAAGTTGTTCTAATAGCTTTACCAAAACAGGAGGCACAAAGAGCAGTAGAAAGACTGGTTAAATGATATGAGTAATATCTACTGTTTGAAAATGTTATTTAACGTTTATTAATTTTCTGAAATATATTTAAATATTTATGCGGATTGCATTGTGTATTTTTGTTCAATTTAATGACCTTTGACTTTTTAATTAAAAATAATAATAATAAGCTTATGCTTTGATAAAAGTATTTTTAATAAATAATAACAGCAAAATTAATAATAATAATAATAATACCATTAAGAAAAGTATCAAAACGACTAATCGTAACAAAATAACTACGTAAATTAAGGCACCAATCAATTATACTGAATTTGAGAACTAACATTTGGACTTTTCTGTTATTATAAAAACAACAAATATAAATAGCTTTGGCGACAGAATTTCTTTTTCTAAAAAGAAATTAATCAGCTGGGATAGCTTGAACATGACAGTTCATTTATATAGATCTTTTAAGTATGAAAACTGCAGTCTTTTATTCTTCGACTTGCAAAACGTCACTAGTCAGAGTATGCAGTCTTTCATCATATAAGCGTTTGGCATAGTTGACTTGTTGTGATACCCACCGAGCTAAGTCATACGAGTCGCAGCGAATTATTGGCCTTTTTATAGCATCTTGATAAAGGGCAGTACTATTTGCATTCGATACTTTCATCGTTATTTCTATATAATAGCGACTATCAGAACCTTCTGAGACAGTCACGGGTTGACACTGTTGTAAATCGCTACGCAAAAATATACTTTATCATTTTTTACAAAACAAGTTTCATCCAAAAATTTTAACTTCCTAATTTGTAGTAAACTATATATAAACAAAAAACTTGCCATACCTTAAATAAACTTCTAGTTGAACAGTATTGAGGCCCACTATCCATATTTTTTGATTCGAAACAAGTATTTTCAAGTCTTCAGAATTCAAACGTTCAAACGCCACCAGATGTTCAGAAAAATTCCTAGGTCAATTTATTTATCAGTTATTTATTTAAAACATTTTTTGAATTATGATAATAATACTAACCTATCACTAACCGTGTACAAAAGTTGTTGCGCTTTGCTTTGCTTTTTACTGTAGGGGGGAAGTAAACCACCTGTTCCCCATACACAACGAGGCAATCTTGATCGGTCAGGGCTGATCCGGCTTTAGTAAAACAAAAAAATAAAAAAAAAATAGTTTAAGAAATATTACTAAACTTACCTTCTGCTAGTTTCTCTGACAGCTCTTGCAGTTTCTGATGCTAAATCCAGTACTCCCACTACTGGTTTTGTGACTGTCCCAACCAGTCCCTTCCCAAGTCCCGAAAATACCCCTTGAATACCCTCGTTTGCAGCGCCTTCGTAAACGTGTTTAAATATGCTCGTTGCTCCACCCAGAATCCCAAAACTTAAACCTTTGATCCCGGCTAATAAGTGATCACCACTCTTCCCGGGCTCCACTTGTCGAATGCGTTGACGCATCTCTTCATGCTCATCGTCCATGGTAACGCGTCCTAATCCATCCGAAATTGATTCGGTCACTTTAGCTGCGGAATTCGAAAGACCGTGCGTGACGTTTTTGACCAAAGTGCGTACCGAACCTTCGGTAAAAAATCCTGAAACTCCCTCAGATACGTCGTTCATAAATCCTACAGGATTACCCAATACATCGACCGAACCCAAAATGATTGCTGCTTGCCATATTAATTCCTAAATGATTAAAATGTAGCAGAACTTAACGACTGACGATTTTACACTCACGTCTTTGAAATGCTTTTTTATCGAGTTGAGCAGAAATTGAGCGGTTTCGAAAGGATGCCTTCTTACAAATGGTTTCAGATCTACTAAAGCATCTTCAAATTTAATAAAGGGAATATCCCACTTTCTTTTAACAGCTTTTAACTCTGGAGGTAGTTTACTTGCAGTTTTCATACTGAGCTTGATTTGATTAGGCACTAAATGTATTACACCAAAGTAATACCTGTGAAATAATTACTCTTAAAATAACAGAAATATCTCTCACAAATTTTACCTTTTAGCATAAGAAGCTGATACTTCTGACAACATCCTTTGCATGTCATAATCATATTCACTTGTGGAGTCTGGAATTGTCTCTTCTTCTTTTGATCCTATTTCAATAAAACTTAAAAGTTTTAAGATAAATTTCTCTTCAAGATTAATTGTTAGCTTTTTCAAATTTACAATCAGATGCTAAAAGAATAGAAAATATTAAGAAGATTATTTAATTTCTTATTTGTGCTTCATACTTTGAAAATGACAGCATTTTCATTAGGGGTTGGTTGAATTTCTGTTGAAATATCTAATGCTGGAAGCTTATAGTATTCATCATCATTTCTATTAGTTTTTGGAGGTGTTACATACAGCAGAACAGGCACTGTAGTGTCTAAAAGCTTAAAAAATAAGGAAAATTTAGAAAGTGTACTTTTCTGAAAAGTTAAATGCGTAATTACCTGATTGTCGACCTGAATATCTCTCACACTGATGCAAAATGTTCTAGCAATTTTTGTAATTACAGTTTCTCCCACAATTGTTTCAAACTTGGCATATAAAAGCTCTTCAAATGGTTTCCTAGTAACAACACTGATTCCCACCCCAGCTAATTTAAGGGTACACTGATACTCTGTTTTCTTAGCATCATCGTCATCTTGATTACTATAACGTGTGAACTTTGGTCTTTGCTTTTTAACTATTTTATTCCATTCACGCTCATCTGGTACAGCATAAACGCTTTTTTCATGCATATCCCTAATATTAAGGACACGTGTAGGACCGTCGGTCGATATTTCAACTGATAATACACCCGAACCTGGTCTCAATCTTTGCCGGGTAACAGCTTGTTCCAGAGGAATACCTGTTTCAGTTGTACGATGACATATTGGCTGAGGAAGCCCTAGTATTGCTGCGTTCCCTATTAAAATCATAGAAATGAATTTTTTGTTTGAAAGGCTGAATTTGGCATTTTAGTGCACACAAAATATAAAAAATTAATGTACAAATGCACATAAACTACGTAGATATTATTTCTATTTCATCTATTTAAATAACAAAAACAACATTTTACAATAAAAGTACATTCAATTTTACCATACACCACGTGAAATTTGTTAGTAACGTTATGTCTTCTTTTGAATTGCTATAATGTTTATATTCCAAAACATTTCTATTTGGGTCATAATGTTATTATTGATCTACCAGATGCATATTTTAGTATTACAAGACAAGACTGGTCATAAAGTCAGTATGACAGGGCAGTTAAAAGTCCATTAAATAGGGATCATTCAAGTATTACGTAAACAGAATTTTAGTATAATTTTTAACGCCCCCCACCTCATTGTCAGCAAAAATAAACATAAAGTGAATTTCTCTATCCCTCGGGAACAGTACTTTTTCTTCTGGATAAAAGGTACCCAATGTCCTTTTCTGTACCGTTGAGAATGTGTCTACAAAATTTCATGATGATCGGTTGAGTAGTTAAGGCGTGAAAAAATAACAAACAAACTCACATTCACAATATTTATAATATTAGTTAGGATAAAGGAATTTAATGTACCAATCTTCATCATAAGGTCATCAGTCCCAAGACTGGTTGGACACGTACCTCCACTCTTTCCTATCCTAAGCTAAACTTAAATTTCGCATTTCCCTAAAACTAGAACAGCCCACATCCACAAGTAAGGCTGCTATTATATTTGTTCCGAACAAAATCTATCAAATTTTGCAGAAAGAGTAAATAAATAAATATTGCTGATGTAATCACGATCGAAACCCCCCTCTCGTCCACATGACATCAAAAATAAAAAAGTAAAGACCTCCTGCCCTCCCTGGGTACTTACGTAATACTTGAATGGCCTCTCAGTTGCAATTTTAAATCTAAGTATATAAATAATTTGGATGCACTTATACTGTGTTAATGACTCAAAAATAAATTTATGGAATGCGGACACTAATACAATGTGTGATATAAAAATAAACAATCAGGTGTTTTTGACATACCTATGTACAATTGTAAAATATTTAAATCCAAAATTAAAAAAACACGTAAGAGGAATTAGTCATTGAAAGCACGATTTTAAAAAGTGTACTAAGCAATGTTAATTTGTTTAAAGCAGGTAATAAAATAAAAAAACCTCATAATTTGTGAATATACATACACCTTGTCCAGTTTCCAAAATTTTTGCCCCCCTTCACTGAAATTTTTACACTTTATTTTTAAATTGAGATAAAAACATAGACAACCGAATTTTAAATTTTGTTCCAAAAAATTACTTGCATTAATAAAAAAGGCAATATTACATTTATAACGACATATATAAAACATACCAGGTCTTAACCCAAAGAATCCATCCTGGGCTTGCACGCACATTTTATAATGGGCACAACACAAACGGCCATCGTCGGTGAACCGCCACGTTTGAGTCGATCGACGTCTAGAATCGGGTTTGCGCAGCATTAATCTGTTGTATGTATTCGGTTGTGGAGCTGGTCCTTCAATGTCCAAAACCAATACATTATCTGATCTGGGTTGCTGCGGATGGGATGGTGGGCTGCTACCTTCATGTTGCAACTGACCCGATGCTGTCATACGCCACAATTGTGATCGCTGACCGGGAATTTTGCGATTCAGTATCACCTGCTTGCTATTGACCACATCTAGGACTAACTGTTGGTTCTCGACATCCATTGGGTCATTTAGGACATCTTCTCCACTGTTAAAAAAATATTAAATTTCAGAATACCGTAAAAATGTCTTAGTTATGAAAATAATCAACGAAAATTTTTAAGATATTTTATATGCCAAAACTAAGGGATGAAAATAACAAGTCTGCTCATTGTATTACTGTTGACCATTTGCACATGAAATGTCGACAGAAAATAAAGCATATACGACTAAAAGCCAATAAGATCAATGGTGGTACAATGCCTACTAATTTGTCATAAACTTCTGAAGTTATTAATAAGTCTTACTCTTTAAAAGTCCCCGCAAAGGCGATATAAATAAAGTTTTCGTAAGTGAGTTGGGGTACATTTCCAATTTTATTCATATCATAATTGTTGGAAACACCTCCAGGAGCCGAAACGGTCAAAAATGAAGATCCTGTAGGTTCATCCCAGGCGTAGGGTATGCTTGTATGAGCGCGAACATTACAGCGCAACAAATCTTTACAGCATGTCTGCCAAAACGTTAAGGGCACTTCAGAAAAATTGTCTACTCTTATTGGTGGTGGCATAGTATCTGCATCTGCGAATATAACGAAAAACGTTGCCCCCTCCAACACCACTTCCATTCGCAGAAAATATATTCGGCCCTGGGCATCCCTAGAAAAATAATTATCTTTATAATGCTAAAAAACAATGACAACCACAATTTCTCACTATATGAAAATCAAACATTAATGTGAAAATTATTTTCCCTTTATACGAACTATGAATTACCACAAGTTAATAAGGAAAATTTGTTGCTGTTGTCATACCCTCGCCGAAAATCGAACATGTAGCTTAGTGGCCAGAGCATTGGTGTGTAAAGCCGTGGGTCTCGGATTCAATTCCCGGCGAGGGTGTGACAACAGCAACAAATTTTCCTCATTAACTTGAGGTAATTTATAGTTGGAATAAATAGAAAATGAATTTTCATATTAATATTTGATATATTAACCACTATTAAATATCAAAAAATTCTAAGTGTAATGTTGAAAGTTACAATTTTATATTTTAAATAATTATTTCGTAGGTCCTTTCGCAGATGTACTCGTTTCTTAGCGTACTGAGAAGTTTCATCCTAAAAGATAACTAATGTTGATATTACAATTAGATTAATGTAAGACTACCTATTAAAAAACGTTTCCATTGTAATTATACTACAGTAAGGTGTGATTAAATTATTATTTTAATATATAACACAGTTGTGTCCAATAGAACACGCGTTTGAAAATAAAATGAGTTATGATTAACAAAAGCTTCTTATTTATGTATTGTGGAGTGGTTATTTTTCAACAGGGTTTGTTTTTTTTACGTTAATATTAAAATGCCCCCGATTTGTAAATAATTTCAATTGGTCAATATTGACAATTATTACCACATTAGGACTATTGCTACTTTATTGTTTAATTTTTGAATTATTTCAATGATTAAATATTATTGGTTAATATTTTTGCAATTATTGACCTGTTTCTTGACGATTACCGTATTAATTTTCAATATTTTAAATTATTAGTAGATAATTCCTTAATAATTTGAATTATTAGCGTAATATTCGCCAATGTCTTCAGTTGATAATGTGTGTACCCTTACAATTTCAACTTTTATTAAAGTACGTAATTCTTTAATATTTAGAAATATTACTGCTTTATTTTTACGAGATATTTCAATTACTTGCATATTATTTTCCAATATTTTTAATTATTAGCGAATTATTGGTAAATTTACCTGATTATCAAATTATTAGACAATAATTTCAATTTGTACATATTATT